CATAGCAGCATTATTTGGAATAGCCAGAACCTGGAAGCAACCTAGATGTCCTTCAACTGGAGAATGGATAGAGAAAATGTGGTATATTTAGACAATGGAGTACTACTCAGAAAAAAATAATGGAATCTTGAAATTCCCAGGCAAATAGATGGATCTAGAAGAAAAACCATTCTGAGAGAGATAACCCAGTCACAAAAAGACAAACATGGTATGTACTCACTCACATATGGATTTTACACATAGAGCAAAGGATTACCAGCTTACAATCCACACAGACAGAAAAGCTAATAAACAAGGAGGACACTAAGAGAGACATACATGGTCCCCCGGAGAAGGGGAAAGGGACAAGATTTCCAGAGCAAATTGGGAGCATGGCAGGGGAGGGAAGAGGGAGCTAGGAGAGTGAGATGGGGAGAAGAGGAGGGGTGAGGAGGACATGAAGGATCAGGAATGTTGTGTAGGGGGAAAATAAAGGAGAGCAAAATAAGAGATACCATAAGAGAGGGAGCCATTATGGATTTAAAGACAAATTGGGCACTAGGGAAATGTCCACAGATCTACAAGGATGACACCACCTAACCATCTAAACAACAGAGGAGAGGCTACCTTAAATGCCCTCCCATGATAATGAGATTGATGACTAACCTATATGCCATCCTAGAGCCTTCATCCAGCAGCTGATGGAAGTAGAAGCAGTTACCCACAGCTAAACACTGAACTGAACTGAAATCCAGTTGCAGAGAAGGAAGGGTGATGAGCAAAGGGGTCAAGACTGGCCTGGTGAAACCCACAGAAACAGCTGACCTGAACAAGGGGGAGCTATTGATCCCCAGACTGATCACTGGGAAACAGCATTGAACTGATCCAGACCCCATGAATGTGGGTATCAGTGAGGAGGCCTTGGAAATCTGCCTCTTGGAGATCAGCTCTTATCCCTAGCATAAGAATGGTCTTTGGGAGCCCATTTCAGATAGAGGGATACTCCCTGAGCCTAGACACATGGGGGGGGGGGGCTAGGCCCTATCCCAAAGGATATGACAGACTCTGACAACCCCTCCCTAGGGCCTCACCCTCCCTAAGGAGAAGAAATGGTAAGGGATAGGCAGGGTGTTAGTTGGGGGGGTGGAGGGCAGGAGCAGAGCTTGAAGAAACTGGGATTGACATGTAAAACAATCTTGTTTCTAATTTAAATAAAAATGGAGAAAACAAAAAGAAAGGACTTTTGGAGCCCATTCCACATGGAGCGATGCTCCCTCAGCCTGGACACATGGGGGAGGGACTAGGCCCTGACCAGGATGACATGACAGACTTTGGCATCCCCCATGAAGGACCTTACCCTCACTGGGGAGCAGAGCTGGGATGTGGTGGAGGGCTGGTGGGGGTGACGGAGGAGGTGAGGGCTAGCTCCAGGACAGCTCCAAAGCCACAGAGAAACCCTGTCTCGAAAAACCAAAATAATAATAATAATAATAATAATAATAATAATAATAATAATAATGTTTTTAAACTTAAAAAATCTCATTTTAAATATCAATCCCAGTTCCCTCATTCTCCCATCCTCCAATTCTCCCTTCCCTCTCCTATCCCATTCATCTTCTGCTCCATAGAAAGGGTGAGGTCTTCCATGGGGCTCATCAATGTCTGTTACTTCATTTGGGGCAGGGCTGAGGCCCTCTCTCCTATGTTTAGGCTGAGACAGTATGCTTCCATGGAGAATGGGCTCCCAATATCCATTTGTACACTAGGGATAAATATTGTTACACTACCAGAGGCCCCATACTCTGCTTAGGCAGATACCCACATTCAGGGGACCTGGTTCTGTTCTATGAGCTTTCAGTCTGGGGTCAATGAGCTCATCCTTGTTCAGGTCAGCTGTTTCTATGGGTTTCTCCAACCTGGTCAAGACCCCTTTGCTCATCACTCCTCCTTTTCTACAACTGGATTCCAGGAATTCAGCTCAGTGGAAATTGTTACGTCTTGAATGACAAACTTTTACACAGAACTTTCTAATGTGGCATTTTACACTTTTTATTTACAAACTTATGTAATATTTCATTACATTTTACCTAAAAATTCATACTATCAATATTGTTAATATTATAATTAATTGATTGGCTCTTATGAACTATTATCATCATAATCCAGGCAGTATTCTCATAAATATAAGTACAAATATTGTATTTATGAGATAATAATAAAAACATCTTTATTTAATAAATTAATCTCTGAATGAATTAAAAATGTTTCTAGTTTAAAAAGACACAGGACAGGCCGACCTGATCCATAAGGAGGTGAGTGACCTTCTGCTATTACCCAACTCCTGTCCAAAGCCCCATTTACCCAGAACTCTCTGGTCCTGCGACTGCTTGGAGTAGACCTACCCAGGCAGGGAGGAAGTCCCTGAGTCTGGAAACACCCCACTCTTCCTTCCCATTCTGCCGACCTGACCCCTATGGAGGTCTAACTCCTTCAGAGTGAGGAGACTACCAGGAGAGGCAAGACCATCCAGAGCTGCAGACATTGAATCCCTGGCCCACACACACCACTGGGTCACAAGGGGAGATAGAGAGACCCCACCTGCACCCACTGGAAGAAGATATGGGAAGAAGACAGAATAAGAACCCACTCAACAACAGAAAGACCAATACGATGCCACCAGAATCTCAGGACTCCACACCAGCAAGATCTGAAAAACCCAACACAGAGCACGAAGAAGAGATGGACCTCAAAAATTATCTCGGCAAGATGATAGAGACTTTTAAAGAGGAAACAAGAAAATCCCTTAAAGAAACAGAAGAAAAAGCAAGCAAAAAATTACACTAAGTGGAGAAAAAGACAAACCAAAAAATTCAAGAAATAAACAAATCTCTTAAAGAATCTAAAGAAACCCAAGAAAAAACCATCAAAGAAGTGAAGAAAGCTCTTGAAACAGTTCAAAGCATGAAAGCTGAAATAGACGCAATAAAGAAAACAAAGAATGAGGCGATGCTGGAAATGAAAAGGCTGGATAAATGATCAGGAACTAAAGATCTGAGTTATAACTAATAAAATTCAAGAGATGGAAGAGAGAATCTCAGTTATTGAAGACTCACTAGAGGATCCACATTCATCAACCAAAGAAAACCTCAAGTCCAACAAATCCCTAACACAAAATATCCAGGAAATATGGGACACTGTGAAAAGACCAACCTAAGACAATAGGTATAGAAGGTGAAGACACGCTGCTCAAAGGTACAGAAAACATATTCAACAAAATCATAGAAGAAAACTTCCCCAACCTACAGAAGGATATGACTATGAAAGTACAAGAAGCTTACAGAACACCAAACAGACTGGACCACAAACAGAAGTCCCCCTGACACAAAATAATCAAACATCAAATCTACAGAATAAAGAGAAAATATTAAGAGCAGCAAAGGAAAAAGGCCAAGAATCATATAAAGGCAAATCAATCAGAATCACACCTGACTTCTCAACAGAAACTCTAAAAGCCAGAAGGTCTTGGATAGATACCCTACAAGCACTAAGGGAGCATGGATGTCAACCCAGACTACTGTACCCAGCAAAACTTTCAATCACTATAGATGGAGAAAACAAGATATTCCATGACAAAAACAGATTTAAACAATACATATCCACAA